CAAGGTTGACTGGATTTACTTTTGGCTTGGTGAACAAACCACCGCAACCTAGATGATGGAGTGGAAAGTTAACTCCGTTAGAATGAAGTCCACAATTAGAGCAATCTGCAAACTCACTTGTTTTAAATGGAATTTTTTTTTTAGAATTATTGGATGGTGGAGTTGGAAGGGACCGCTAAGCTCGTGTGAACCCAGTGTTTCTCAACCTCAGCAATTTTAAGGTATGTGGACTTCAACTCCCAGAACTCCCCAACCAGCATATCACTCCAACCCTCTGCAACAGGGGGAGGAAAATCAGTCAACACTGACCAAAACTGGATGCAAGTATATTCCAGGTGTGGCTTTCCTAAGGTTTGCACTTACACGTGTGCGCGCGCGCGCGCGTGTACTGCATGTGCAGGCATGCCATTTCAGCCAGGCATTTGCTGCCCTCCGACGCCCATCCTCCCTCCCCCCCTCCCTCCCAGCGGATCCCCTCCTGTTTGGACCCAACCGACGGGCGTCGCACTCACAGCGGACACGCGTGGGTGGGAAGCCCCCTCCAAGAACCGGGAATCGGAGCAGCGGGTCGAGGGAGGCCGGACGGGTGCAGCAACGGGTTAGCTTTGCAAAGCCGGAACCAGCCTGGAACCCGACCGGGAAAATGGTAGAGGGAGGGTGGAATTGCGGAGGGGGGGGGAAGGCACTTCTCTCCCCTCTTCCCCGGGCGGCTCTTCTTACCTCCTTCCTGCCCTCCCACCGCTGTCAAGTCGGCCCGTTCACCTGGCGCGCGCGCCGCGCTTCGCTTTTTCCGCGCGGAGAAAACAAGGAGGGGGAGGGAAGAAAGTCCTTGTCTTCCCGAGGGTGCGCGCGCGCGCGCTCGCTTCCCCCCCCAGCCACCGCCACAGTCGTCTGTTCTAGGCAGCCGAACTTGTCTGCTTTAACCCCTCCGCGTCCCTTTTCCCTGGAGAAGGACGGGGCTTGCTTGGGCTAATGGAGCCTCAGCGGGGCGGGGCGGAGCGGGCCCGTAAAGTCGCCCTGTTCCTTGAGGAGGAAGGAAGAGGGAGAGGCGGGGGAGCGGGAGCCCCCAGGAAACGGAGCAGCTGCCCCAAAGAAGGCGCTTTTCCTTCATATGCTTTAGCCTCCAGTCCCCTAATCATCTTTGTTGGTCTTCTCTGTACTCTTTCTAGAGCAGTGTTTCTCAACCTTGACAATGTTAAGGCATGTGGACTTCAACTCCCAGAATTCCACAGCCAGCAATGCTGGCTGTGGAATTCTGGGAGTTGAAGTCCACATGCCTTAAAATTGTCAAAGTTGAGAAACAGTGTTCTAGAGTCTCAACATCTTTTTTACATTGTGGTGACCAAAACTGGATGCAGGATTCCGAGTGTGGCCTTACCAAGGCCTTGTAGAGTGGTATTAATACTTCACATGATCTTGATGCTATCCCTCTGTTAATACAGCCTAGCACTGTGTTGGCTTTTATGGCAGCTGCAGCACTATCTTGGAAGTTCTGTTGTAGTTAACCATACAGGTTAACCATACTTTGCATACACGCCCCCAGAGCATTGCTAGCTTAATCTGGATTTATTTATTAAATTTATATGCCACCCATCTCAGTCTGAAAAGCAACTCTGGGCGGCTTACAATTAAAATCCTAAATATTAAAATATTTCAAATGTTAAATAGGGTATAAATCCACCCGCCGCCTTCAACAAGCTAACTGGCAGAGCCAGGTTTTAAACATCCTTAAAATGCTAAATTGCTGAATTAGTTGGATTAATTCTTGGCCCACACAACATACTTGACTAGCCTAGTTAAAAACCCAAGGGTGGCATTCATGTCTAACGTTAAATATGGTTAATGTATGCTTTGATCTGTTCAGTCCAAGCTGGGAATAAACAACATGGCAACTGCTTTAGAAAGAAGGGATTTTTGGTGTGCTGATTCTAAGGATTTTTGTTCCTAATCCCAGTTTCCTGATTCCAGTCTTTCTGACAAGATTATCACATCTGCAAATTTGGGACAAAGAGACTTGGGGGCGGGGTTGGTTTCTGCTTTTATTTATTTATGAGACTTATATACCGCTTTAAGTGCAAGCACTCTCTAAGCAGTGTACACCAGTAAGCAATGTATATATATATTTACATTGCCCCCACCAATCTGGGTCCTCATTTTACCTACCTCGGAAGGATGGAAGGCTGAGTCAACCTTGAGCCGGTGAGATTTGAACCGCTGACCTGCTGAACACAGTCAGCTAAAGTGGCCTGCAGTACTGCACTCTAACTGCTGCGCCACCTCGGCTTTTAAAATCCTTTAGGGAAATATATTCTGCCTTTTAAATATTTCCAAAAATATTTCTGTCTCGGGGCTAGGCTATTAAATAAGTTGAGTGAATTCAAGTCACAAATTAGCTAGGCACATTTTGGAAAGTCCATTCAGCTATCTTCTCAGCTCCCGCAAATTTCAAAGCGGCATTTCTACAAAAAAGACAACAAGTGATGGTTTTTGGAACGATGTGTTCAAGAGATGACATGACAGCAGTCTTCCAATATCTAAGCGGCTGCTCACAAGGAAGAAGGAATCAACCAGTGGTGGGATTCAGCCGGTTCGCACCACTTCGGCAGAACCGGCAGCTAATTTTTTGTTGCCCAGGCCCAGAATGGACTTCCGGTAGCGGCATCCACACATAGAACCGGTTGTTCACATATTTGAATCCCACCACTGGAGTCAACCTATAAGCACCTGAAGGCAGGACAAGGAGCAATGGATGGAAACTAATCAAGGAGCTATCCAATCTGGAAATAAGGAGAAATTTCCTGAGAGAACAATTCCAATTTGTGTTGTGCTTGCCCTCAGAAGTTGTGGGTGCTCCAACGCTGGAGGTTTTAAAGAAGAGACTGGACAGTCACATGTCTGGAATGGTATGGTCTCCTGCTTGAACAGGGGGTTGGACTAGAAGACCTCCAAGGTCCCTTCCAACTCTTTTATTCTATTGTATTCTATATGCTCCCCCTCTGCTGTGGGAGGACCAGCTCAGGAAGGATCCTGCTGGGAATCAGCTCCCCTGAAGGAAAGCAGAAAGATTAGCTGGAGGATTTAAGAGAGTCTCCTTCTATTTCTAGTCTTTCACCCTTTCTGAAGGAAATATCTCCGCTCTGGGCCTTCATTTCTATAGCCATTTCTCCATCTACTTCTTCTTTGGCTTTGAGAAAATTCAAAACCAAGGAAAGAGATGTCCATGACTTCATTCCACCCTTTCTCACCCTTCCTTTGGCCTCTCTAGGAAACAGCGCTGGATCACTTTGTTTAAACCAAGGATAGGCAACCTTGGCTCTTTTATGACTCGTGGACTTCAACTCCCAGAATTCCTGAGCCAGCATAGCTCAGCTTGGAAACCTCTCCCTTTCCCCTCAGCATGGCTGGCTCAGGAATTCTGGGAGTTGAAGTCCACGAGTCATAAAAGAACCAAGGTTGTCTACCCCTGGTTTAAACCTTTTATTTAAAGCCTTTGAGAATATTTGAGGGCCTTGATTTCTCAACGCTGCAGCTTGGCAGAGGCTGATAGTTCTGGTAGTCTTACTGCCGAAAGTTAAATGATTAAAACAAATAAAAATAAACTGAGAATGAGTTGTATTTTGTGGGGGGGGGAGGGAGGAGGTGATCTGTCATAACTACAAACTGTCATCAAGGAACCGATCATTAAGCTAACTACTTGTGTTCCAGTGCCCTACAAAGTCACGGCACTGAAAAATGTGACTTATGACCATTATTCACAGTTACAATCTTTGCAGCATCCCCATGATCCTGTGATTAAAATTCACATCATTTGTGATGGACAACTGGTTCATATTTATGACCATTGCTGTGTCCCAAGGTCACGTGACCTTCTCATAAGCAAAATCCATAGGGAAGCCAGATTCATTTACCAATTGCAGTGACTCACTTAACAACTGTGGCCAGAAAAGTCGTAAAATGGGGCAAAACTCACTTAACAACAGTATCCCTGAACAACAGAAATTTGGGGCTCAATTGTGGTCATAAGGTGAGGACCACCTGTATATAAGAACAATTAAACAATTGGTTCCCAATTATTCCTTTTTTTCTTCCCTATTTTTTCTTCCCTTTTTTATACCTGTTGAGATTGTTAGCTCATAGATTTTATTGATTTTACCAAACCCAAGCAAAAGGTAAATCTCCTCTAGCTGATCAGAACTGACTTTAAAAATCTTTTTTTTTTTTTTGCAATGCACAAGTGGAAGTCTAAACTTGCTTGTTTTCTTGTTCTTCCCCTAATAAAGGTAAAACTACTCAAGATGGACGGTGATTAATATTTATATCATGTATTTATACATAAGGGTGTAGGTATATACATATGTTGTATATGGCATGTTTGTATGTGTGTTATGTATGCAAGCAACAGAATTTCAATTTCACAGGCTGATGAAAAATAACAGGTTTCTAATCAGTTGTCCTCCTCGTTTTTATTCTTTCTTCTTTGTACATAGATCAGTTTCTCAATCTTAGCAACTTTAAGATACGTGGACTTCAACTCCCAGAATTCCCCAGCCATCAAAGCAAATCTGGCGGAGGAATTCTGGGAGTTGAAGTCCACGCATCTTGCTAAGCTTGAGAATCACCGCCTTCTACTACTCAAACATGTGTGGCTATGATGACCACTGTGAAAGATTTCTCTGAAAAGGCTTTTATTACCCTCTGAGCATTTACACAACTTTATTAAAATGCAAAGGCGGGAGCTGCTCTTACTGTCTCCCCCCCCAATTCACTCTTGTGATTTCTGGCTCGGGGGAGATTCTTTGATGAGAGAAAAAGGACTGCATTCAAATTTAAATGGTATCAAATTCAGGTTCTGTCCCACTCCTGCCAATTTAGGAACACGCACCCCCCAATCCCACGCTCCTGAAATACTGCGTCCCTTTTGTTGTTTAAAAATATAAATGATCGCAGCCTTTTTCTTATTTTCTTCTTGTGATATAACACAAGAGCATAAACACCTGATAGTGGTTCGTTAAAAGAACCGTGGTTTAATATACAATGTGAAAAAAACAATATTCAGGGAGCATAGAGAATACAAGATAGTCAGTTATATTCAAAGGGTTGAAGTGAGCCAGCAGGTTCCAACTGCCATTAAAGGGATACTACCCCCAAATACTCTGCTGACTCATTCTCTATATATCACTTCTGCCGGTCAGCTACTAAATCATAATTAGCGTGACAACTTTTATCCTGAAAAAGATTGGGCATCGCTTCTCATTTTGTGAGCACCGCTTGTGGTTTGTGTGTCGTCCCCCCTGCCCCACCCCGGAAAAATTCTCAAGTGCTGAACAGGACTTGATTTATCACAAAAGTCTTGGCTGCGGTCTGAGTTCCTCCTTGCTCTTTCCCCACGTGGATTTTCTGATGAGTAGCTAGGCAGTCGCCCCGACTGAAGCTCTTCCCGCATTCAGGGCACCGATAGGGTTTCACCCCCGTGTGAAGCCGCTGATGCCGGATCAGGTCCGAGTTCTGACTGAAGCTCTTCTCGCACTCGGAGCACTTGTAGGGTTTTTCCCTGGTGTGGATCCGCTGGTGCCTGACGAGACTCGAATGGGCGCTTAAACTTAAGCCGCAGTCGGCGCAGCTGAAGGGTTTCTGTCCCGAGTGCATCCTCAAGTGCATATCCAAGACAGATTTACGGAGGAAACGTTTGCCACAATTGGAGCAGTCGTAGAGCTTCTCCAGCCGGTGGACTCTCTGGTGCGACGTCAGGTTCGCTTTGTGACCGAAGCCCTTGCCGCAGTCCAAGCATTTATGGGGCAGTTCTCGGCTATGGAGCCTTGGGTGGAGGGGGACCCCCTTCCCGAAGGCTGAGTTTTTACTGGGTCTCTCCTCCGGGATAACGACGAGGCGCCTGTTTCTCCTCTTCTTCCGCTGCTTTTCCTGAGGAACGCGAAGTTCGTCTACCTCGGCCGTCCGAAAAGACTCCGATTTCTCCTTTTCTCCAGCCTGATCCCCTTCCCGCCTCTGCGAACCGTCGGGATTCCGGGCGATTTCTCTCAGCGCTTCACATCGGATTTTTCCTAACTGTTTGCACCTTTCAGCCCCATCTTCCTTCTTGGAGGCACCTCCTGGAGCAGGGAGAGAGAGAGACACCAAAATGAACCCCAGGTAGTTCTCAACTGGTATGTCTAGTTCAGGGGTAGGCAACCTCGGCTCTTTTATGACTTGTGGACTTCAACTCCCAGAATTCCTCAGCCAGCTTGGCTCAGCTTGGAAACCTCTTCCTTTCCCCTCAGCATGGCTGACTCTGGAATTCTGGGAGTTGAAGTCCATGAGTCATAAAAGAGCCAAGGTTGCCTACCCCTGGAATAGAGCTAGATGGGACCTTGGAGGTCTTCTAGTCCAAGGGTAGGCAACCTCGGCTCTTTTATGACTTGTGGACTTCAACTCCCAGAATTCCTCAGCCAGCTTGGCTCAGCTTGGAAACCTCTCCCTTTCCCCTCAGCGTGGCTGGCTCAGGAATTCTGGGAGTTGAAGTCCATGAGTCATAAAAGAGCTGAGGTGGCCTACCCCTGGTCTAGTTTAATGAAGAGAAGGATGAGGGGGGGGGACATGATTCTTGTGGAAAACGAAAAAGGACTTTTACGAATTCGAAAGGGTGAAACAGAGAGGGGTTTTTTTGCGCAAGGTTCAGAAGTGATAAAACAGCAAATTTCTGAACAAGGGGGAGGGTCCAAACTACAGCTTTATAGGTGTCCTTTTCTCAGGAACAAAGGAGCATAGATGGAACCTACATTGTATAATATTCAGTTAGTTTCTCACAGGCATACAATGAATAGAGAGTTTCACTTTATATCAGTGGTTCTCAACCTTTTTAATGCCGCGACCCCCAACCGGTCATAAGTCGAGGACTACTCAACTGGTGCAGCACCGTTTGCAGAATGGGACTTTTGGCGGGCTCAGCAGGGGAGAGACAGCCTGGACAATTCCTATTGGCTTTTGAAAGCCAATAGAATTAGACTCCATTCAAGAGAGTCTATTCTATTGGCTTTCAAAAGCCAATAGAATAAAAGGGAGTAGCACAGCTAAGGAAAAGGGGGAAAAAAATGGTGGACTGCGTTGTTTGGCGACCCCCGTGAAATGGTCGTTCGACCCCAAATGGGGTCCCGACCCACAGGTTGAGAACCACTGCTCTAATGTGAGAGAAACCCCCAACTCACTTGTTGTATCTCACAGCAATTCACAATTGTTAAAGAAGGCAGGTGCCTGTTTACCTGCAGGTTTTCCTTCTTCTGGACTCTGAAAAAATGTCTCGTTTTTCTCTCCCAGCCAAGAGACATCACTTCGGGGTGACAGTGGACCTCCTGCAGCAGATAACAAAAAAAGCAATACAGACGTATGAGTTAATTTCTACATTTCTAGCAGTAGACAAGGATTTCAATCCTTAGGAACAGGAATCGGTTGACCTCAACTATCCCATTAATCTAAGATCAAGGATGGCCAGTGAGTAATGCCGATGAGCAATGGACACGGATACCGTTAATGATACTATCTCTTAGGAAACCTGTAGCAGCAGGCAACTGAGTTTGCCAAAGAGCTAGACTAGGTGATCTTCTGGGTTCCCACACGGTGTCTCTATAATGCAGTGGTTCTCAACCTTTTTAATGCCGCGACTCCCAACTGCTCGTAAGTCAAGGACTACTCCACCGGTCGTAAGTCAAGGACTGCTCAACTGGTGCAGCACCATTTGCAGAATGGGACTTTCGGCGGGCTCAGCAGGGCAGAGACAGCCTGGACAATTCCTATTGGCTTTTGAAAGCCAATAGAATTAGACTCTATTCAAGAGAGTCTATTCTGTTGGCTTTCAAAAGCCAATAGAATAAGAGGGAGTAGCACAGCTAAGCAAAAGTGGGAAAAAAATGGCAGACTGCGTTGTTTGGCGACCCCCGTGAAATGGTCGTTCGACCGCAAATGGGGTCCCGACCCACAGGTTGAGAACCACTGCTATAATGATTTGCTTGGAGGGCCAAAATGTATGTGGCTAAGTGAAAAGCATTTATAAAGTGAGTTTTGTCCCATTTTACGACTTGTCTTGCCAGGGTTGTTAAGTGAATCCTTGCATTTTGTTAAGTTAATAATGCGGTTGTTAAGTGAATCCGGATTCCCCATGGACTTGGCTTGTCAGAAGATTGCAACAGCTGATCACATGACCCGCAACCATCATAAATGTGAGCCAGTTGCCAAGCGTCTGAATTTCGATCGTGTGATCATGGGGGTGTCGCAACGGTCGTGTGAAAAACGGTCTAAGTCACTTTTTTTTTTTTTAGTGCCGTTGTAATTTTGAATGCTGACTCCTGAGAAATAGATTCATTTTCTCTCAAAGGGGGCCTTGAGGCTAAGACCCTGCTCTCCAGTTTATTCAATGTTGGCTTCTTACAACCAGGCCTCACACTTATGACCATCGCAGCATTCCCAGAGTCATGTGATCAAAATCCAATTGCTTGACAACCAGCATGTATCTAAGATGGTTGCAGAGTCCGTGTGTGTGTGTGTGTGTGTGTGTGTGTGTGTGTGTGTGTGACGTGATCACCTTTTGTGATCTTCCCAGCTAGCTTCCAACAAGTAAAGTCAGTTGGGGGAAGCTGGGTTAGCTTAACAGCCACGTGATCCACTTAAAACTGCAGTGATTTATCAGCCATCTTCTTCTTGTGCCATATCTGTTATCAGACGTTGGCGATCCTGTTGGCGATCCTGTTTTTATTAGCAGCTGAGTTTTGTCCAAACTAGTCCCTTAGATTAGGGCTTTTCAATCTTTTCACCCATAGTACCACTTTTAGAATATGGCAACATCCGAGTACTACCAGTCGCCTAGCAAGGTGTCAAAAACTTGCTGACCCCCCCCCAAAAAAGGAAAAAAGTGATAAAGTACAGATAGTCCTCAACTTACGACAGTTCGCTTAGTGACTGTTCAAAGTTACAATGGCACTGAAAAAAGTGCCCTCCAAGCCACAGCCGAGCAAGACACCTGCCTGTCCGCTCAGCGGCACTCTTCCTCCTGTCCAAGGTTTTCATTGTTGTGAGCATTTCTGTTGAGGATTGGCAGTGGGGGGTGGGGTGGCGGGGGGGGGGGTGTTTGGTTTTTATTCCCACCCCATCTGCTGGGGGTTGCAGCAGGTTTTGGTCACTTCACATGACCTGGGACACTGTGACTGTCATAAATATGAATCAGTTGCCAAGCATCTGAATGTAAATCACAAGACTCTGGAGATGCTGCAACATTCCAGCTGATTGGTGCTTCTTCTGGGCTCAGCAGAAGCAGCCAGGATCAGCGCTGGAGCTCAGCTGGACCTGCCTGGGGCTGATCCTGGCGCTTCCGCTGACCCTGACAGCCTGCAGCTTTTCCAACCATACTCTCACTCAGGCTGTGTGCGGTGCTGCCACTGGTTCAGCTCATTCCCCTCCCCTACCACTAACACTTTTCTAGGATGGTTTAGTACCACCTTCCAGGTGCCAATGTACCACATCCATGGCTGTCAAAATCTAAGAAGCCTGCCTTAGATTTTGAACCATGATGTTCTAACTTCTCCTGACCTATTTGCCTTCCATCTTTCACCTGGAGGATTAAATGGAGCATGCCCGTATTTTTCTGGGTGTCGCATCACATGTCCGAATATTCTATTTTCGTTTTTTTAATTGTTTGGATGATTTCCCTTGGCTTTTTCCCAGTCGGCTTGACACCTCCTCATTTCTGATCTTGTCAGCCCACTTATACGTAAACAGACGCCTTTAAATCACATTTCAAAATGGCTTCTAGTCTCTTCAGTGGCCTTCTTTCAGCCATAGCAAAAAAAAGAGAGATCACAACTCATTTACAACTGCCTTGCTTCTGGTCCACTGCGTTCATAAATCGAGGGCTACTTGTACAAAAGGTGCCTTCCTGCACATTTGCTTGGGGATGGGTAAAGCAAATGAGGTCACAGAGTAATTGCAAGCATGGTACCGACTGGATCTGGGAATTAAAATAGCACCGTGGGGAACCCAGAGAAGTATCGCTACTATAGAATAATCCAAAGGAAGCTGAGTGAGGATCACTAGAATCTTAGAACTCACAGATTAGAAGAGAGCCCCCGGGATCATCTGTCTAAGCCCAGGGTTTCTCAACCTGTGGTCGGGACCCCATTTGGGGTCGAACACCATTTCACGGGGTCACCAAACAGGGCTATCCACCATTTTTTTCCCCTTTTTTTTGGCCACGCCCCTGGCACCCGGTGATGTATAAGTGGTTGTGGGTCACCACAACATGGTGAACTGTATATGGGGTCTGGGCATTCAGAAGGTTGAGAACCACTGGTCTAGCCACACTTTGCGGTGTCCAGAAACAAACAAAACCATCCTCCACGCTGCTGTTCATCCGCTCCTGTAAAAACCTTTGAAGCAGGAGAACACACCTCTGTAAGATTTAGTGAATAGATAGAGTAAATAGAATAATACAGAATAAATAGAAATAGAATAGAATAGATAAATAGAATAGAATAGAATAGAATAGAATAGAATAGAATAGAAAGAACAAGAACAGACAGAATATGGTATTTAGAGACTAGACTAGACTAGCTATAAGTATAGAATAGAATATTAGAAAATCGACCTGAACTGGACTGGACTAACTAGACTATAACAGAATAGAACAGAAATATTGAAAATAGACTAGACTAACTAGAATAGTAGATAAATATGGAAAATAGACTAGACTAACTAGTAGAATAAATTGGAAAATAAATTGGACTGGACTAGCTAGGCTAGGCTAGGCTGGCTAGGCTAGACTAGGCATAGAATAGAATAGAGTGTCAAGGTAATTCTAATTTATAGGTACCGCAGAAGTGATATTCGAGAATAAGTCAGCAGCAAGTATTTTGGGGTAGTGTCCCTTTCAGGACTGTGTCTGAGGGAATGGCAGTTGGAATCTTTAGCTCCTGAAAGTTTTGAATATAACTGACTGCCTTGTATTCAATAAGCTCCCTGAATGTTGTTGTTTCATGTTGTCTATTAAACCAGTTATGTTTGATAAACCATCGTCAGATGTTTTATGATCCATGTTGTCCACAAGAAGAAACAAGAACACGGGCTTGCGATAATTTATATTTTAAACCACATATAACAGAATAGAATAGAATAGATAGAATAGAATAGAATAGAATCTATATAGTAGGATAGAGTAGAGTAAGTAGAGTAAGTAGAGTAGAGTAGAGTAAGTAGAGGTAGAATAGAATAGAATAAATAGAATAGTAATAGAATAGAATAGACTAGATAGGAGTTGGAAGGACCTTGGAGTCTCTAGTCAGGGGTAACCAACCTGTGGACCGTGGCTCACTACCGGGTCATGGCCTATTGGCCACATGGGCCGCATGAGTGGCTGGTTATGTGCACACTCAACCTCCCTTGCATCATTCTGGCACCACCGTTGCCACGAGCATCGCGTGGGCCACCACTGTCACTGCAAGCGTTGTCGTGTGAACGCGGTCTCCGCAGCTTGTGTGGGCTCTAGCGTCTCCACAAGCATCACACCACAATGGCTCGCAGCCAATGTTCGTGCGTGGCCATGTTCGCACATCGCCTGTGGCGCAGAGGCGTCCGCGCCCTTAATTTCCTACCATACCACCAATAGAATACTAGAATAAAGTAGAATATAATAAAAAGAAAAATACTAAAGCAAAATCATGTGTGGTGCATAATCTCTGAAAAGAAAGCTGTATTGCACAAAGCTGTATTAACAGGACGTGACATGACTTAATGCATATTTAGAAACCTAATGTAATAAAAGTAAAAACTGCACCTTCATTCTATTCCCATGAGACATGGACCTAACGTTAGAAACTATCTATGTTACACAAAGTAGATTCCTATACATGTAAGCTCCATCTATGCTTCCTTTTGTTCCTTGAAAAAAGAAACCTATAAAGCCTTTAGTTTAGACCCTCCCCATTTTCGAATTTGCTGATTGTGAATCACTTCTGAACCTTTTGCGCAAAAATAAAACCGTCTCTTTCACCCTTGGATTCGTAAAGTCCTTTATTTTTTTAAGGCTTTTATTTTTCCACAAGACCTTGCCTTTCCTACAAGACCACCAACCTGGAAAGTGGGGTCCTCTGTTCTAGTCCAACCCCCTGCTTAGGCAGGCAACCCTATTCAATTTCAGACAAATATTGTCCATCTCACTTCTTTTTTGTACACCCGTTGTACACAGCTTCATATTTTTCTTTTACATTTCAGAGAGTTCCTGGCCAGCTGTAACCCATGACTATATTGCCATTCCTTGTTTCTCTCGCCATGTAAAACAGAGGCAGTTGATGTTCAATGAACAGCTTTGGATAGACGACAAGAAAATGTCTGATTTCTCTCCTCCATTGTCTCTGTTTTCGGTGTTTTTCAGGAAGGAGAAGTTCCCTGGCTTTTCTTATGACACAAAAGGAATCACAAGGTACAAAGAACTTTCCCAATATCGGAGGACTGGGATACAAAGAGAGCTTTCGTACATAATAAGGCGCATGTCCATGCGCTGCCTTCCTGCTTTGATTCGACGTAAGGGATCTCTGTCTGGGCTCAGCCGGAGTCCAGGAAAAAATGGCCTGGGCCTTTTCCAAATGCCCTGTGAATCCAAAAAAAGGAAAGTCAAGATGGTGTTTAAAATAGTACAATCCGATCCTGTTCTCTGCTTGTCCTTGAACTCAGCCAAAGTAGAAACTAGAATGGAGTGTTTGCGAAAAACATAAAAACCATAAATAATAATTAAGTAAAAAAAAACCAATAATAAATATTATAAAAAATAAAATAAATTAAAAAAAAAAAAAATAAAAAAAAAAAAATAAAAAAAAAAAAAAAAAAAAAAAAAAATAAAAAATAAAAATATATTAATAAAAAAAAAATAATAAAAAAAAAAACATAAAAAAAAAAAAATAAATAAAAAAAAAAAAAAAAAAAAAAAATAAAAAAAAGAATCTATCCTTTGTAGATCAAGTGAAATTCTGCAAAAGCTTAGTTCTGATCTATCTGCTAAGGCTGTGCAGTTCCGGAAACGACACAGCTGCTTTAAGGGGCTTGCAGATATTTGTGGAATTCACTCGTTCCAAAGCAGCGAGGCAACTAGACTTTCTGTTTTCCTTTGGAGATGTTTCACTTCTCATCCAAGACGTTTTTTTTTCAGTTCTGACAGTTCAATCAGTTCTGATAGTTCGTTCTTCGTGTCCCTCTCCCTCTTTCTCCCCTCTCATTTCTATGGCTGCCCAATATAAATTTGGGTAGCAACACGATAAAAACATATCAACCAATTAAATCAAATACACTCGACTCAATAACACCAGAACACCATTAAATCACACAAACCCTATCAGAGCCTTGAAACTGCCTCAATATTTGGGGGCAAAAGCCGAAGTCCCTGGCCATGAGTCAACGATGATGGGAGAAATGATCCAACATCATGAGGATCATACCGTCCGTCCATGTTTATTACAGACTTGGCGCCCCCGAGTCAGATCTCATTACGTGCTCCCTCTTACAAGTAATTTTTGTTTTACAACTGTCTGTTTAGCGACCGTTTGGCCGTTCTGACAGTGTCTAAAAAAATTAGGACCCCATTCCTTGCACTGATCCTTCACAAGCCTACCTTTCAAGGAAAGCTAAAATCAGTTGCACCACACCGCGTGGTTTCACTTTAGCGACTTGCTCCACTTACACCCAAGTCTCACAGATGGTGAGACTCTCTTCGATCTGCATTTGATGCCTGACGAAAGATGGCTTAGTTCCAAAGACTTTAATGAATATTTTTTTTGAAATAGACCCCTGTCATCAGTGGTTCTCAACCTGTGGGTCGGGACCGACCCCATTTGGGGTCGAACGACCATTTTCATGTGGGTCGCCAAATCATGCTGTCCAACATTTTGTTCCCTTTTCCCTAGCTGTCCTCCTCCCTCTTATTGGTGGCAACACCCCTTGGGGGGTCACCACGACAGGGAAGTGGCGAAGCAGTTTAGGTGCAGTACGGCAGAGGCCACTTTAGCTGACTGTGTTCCAGCAAGTCCACGGTTCAATCTCACACCGGCTCAGGTGACTCAGGCCTTCGTCCATCCTTCCGAGGTAGGTAAAATGAGACCCAGATTGTTGGGGGCAATGTAAATATATATATACATTGCTTACTGGTGTACAGCGCTTAGAGAGTGGTTGCCTTAAAGCGTATTAAGTCTCATACATAAATAAATATTGGGTCGCGGCATTAGAAAGGTTGAAGAACCACTGCTATACATAAACACTGCCACTTGTTTTGCAGCTACGGAGGCAGTAATTAAAAAATGCAAATCAGAACTCTTCTCCATGTTCCAAAGCCGAAGCATCCCTTTGGCAGAGCCCACACTTTTTGGGGAAGAGCGCAGCCCACAGGTCAACTCACCAGTTTTTCTTTCCTCCTCTGAGCCTCTCGCTGCGTCAAAAGGAATCCTCTGCCAGGGCCACAGCCTCGCACAGGTCTCGCATGCGGCAGTCCCACCCCAGCTTTGGCATTTCTCGAGGAAGAAGCCAGACAAACTGGTTCCCAGACGCAGCAATTCCACAATCTGCCCTTTGCTGTTCTTCTCCGTCTTCAGCCAACTGGCGACAGAGGCCCTGCCAGCTGGGGCATAGACGTCTCTTGGCCCTCACCTCCCAGTAGCCGTAACTGCCGGAAGCGCTGGCGAATCTTCTCCTGCTCAGAGCGTCCCCTCGCAAGATTGCCCGTCTTCACTTTCCCCCATAATCCTCTCTTTCTCCAGCTTCTAGCTTATCAACGCCTGCCTGGCTTCTCCACGGAGAGCGGCAACAGTCTGTCTACCCACTGCTCTCTGGTCCAGCGACATGCCATTCGGCCACTTGCTCGAAGGATCCCAGAAAGGTCTTTGGCGTTCTTACCCATAAGAAGTCCTCCGGGAAATGTGGCCCGATTCCCCGCCCAAGTGAGATGAACTCCCATCGCCTCAAAAAAAGGCTGCCATCGGAACTTCCCAGTGCGGGGGGGTTAGATCCTCTTCTGATTGTCCCTTCCACCTGATTGCCTGATAGGCCTGTCCTCAAGACCTTTCCGTATCTCCATCCAGAGTTTGCCACGGTCCTCTGAATCCTCTCTGGTCTTGCAATCTACAATGGACCCGTGAGGATTTCTCCGCTGATTTGGACGGCTCTCCTAGCAGGTAACCTGGAGTCCTTCTTCTTCCATTCATCCTTGGAGATCTTCACCAAGATGGTGGCACCGGCAGAACTTTCGAAGAAAAACGCACCTGGGGGGACACAAGGATGAAGTCCCCCAAAAGTTTGGCACAATGGATTAAAAATACATTTTGTTGCAAATTATAAAGCTGTGTCTGAAATTGACAGGCCTATAAAAAAAGACTATAGTTATTAAAAAAAAGAAATCCCATTCTCCTCCTTGGCTCAACAGGAAATTAGGTCTATCACACGTGCAAAATGAAAAAGGCCATGTGAAAATGAATGGTGCTTATTTATAATTTTGCAAAACACCACTTATCACCTGGTACCAGGCTGGATATATCTGGCAAAGACAGGAAGAACGAGATTTTGGCTGCCAGATACAACTCAACCTTGGACTTTTAAAGTGTGTATTTCAACTGCCAAATTCCCCAGCCCCTTTGCCCTGCTGTTGCTGAGGAATTCTGGAGTTTGAAATCCACACAGCTGAAACTTTCCAAGATTGAGAGACCCTCCTAGCACCCTGTTTTTCAGCTGAGCGGAATCTTGGTGAAACGTACACAGTGAGCAACAGCAAAGAAGAGGCCTTTGCACAATGATTTTTAGAATGGCCCAGGATGACCCCACGGATTACAAACAGCCCACATCTCGCTTCAAAGGAAGCAGGAGGTCCAAATATTTGGGGCATGTCAATCACCCAGTATGGCAGACCAAACACAAACCAACCAACCAATTTTGGGCAAAGTTGAGGGAAGAAGCCATGGTGACACTGGGAATGGGATCCAGAAAATACAGTCCTCTCTTCATATGAGTCACAACATTTCCATGGCCAGCACAGTGGTTCTCAACCTGTGGATTGGGACCCCATTTGGGGTCGAATGACCATTTCACGGGGGTCGCCAAACAACGCAGTCCGCCTTTTTTTCCCCTTTTCCTTAGCTGGTGCTACTCCCTTTTATTCATTGGCTTTTGAAAGCCAAGAGAATAGACTCTCTTGAATAGAGTCCTAATCTATTGCCTTCAAAGAGCCAATAGGAATTGTCCAGGCTGTCTCTTGCCCTGCTGAGCCCGCCAAAAGTCCCATTATGCAAACGGGCTGCACCAGTTGAGTAGTCCTCGACTTATGACCGCGGTTGAGTATAGTCCTCGACTTACGCCCGTTTGGGGGTCGCGGCATTAAAAAGGTTTAAGAACCACTGCTGTAGAGAGAGGAAATAGAAAAAGAGACACACAGCTAGAGCTAGAGAGAAAATAGAGATGATAGATTAGATAGATTGATTAGAATAGATAGATTGGGATAGATATGATAGATAGATAGATTAGATAGATAGATAGATAAGATAGATAGATAGATAGATAGATAGATAGATAGA